GGTTTACACAGTGAACWTATTTATCACTTGCTGCTGTGATAGCTGTTGAACCACGATTCCAAATATAACGGGATGGAAAATGTTCAGCAATTAAATCCTCATCATTAATTATACTAGAAATAAATTATCAAATAAAGGATCATATGACTGCTGAGGATCAGAACTCTCAGAAAAATTATTACTTGGACCGATCTACATACACCCTCCTCACTGCCGTAAAATGCAGTCGCTTCAAAAAACATCACATATGTATCATATTCAGAGCCACGTACTGAAAAGACCCGAGTTAGATTTGAAAAAATCTAATTTGTCACATTCAAACCGTTACAAAAATTAGACATGGGTTGCATTTATTTGCAGTGTGAACGTAGCCTTTGTTTTCAGAGTTAATGTATTGGTGTGCAGACACACATTCAGACAATTTATGCAAAGTACCAATGACCCAGTGAGCCAATACGTTGCTGAGTTCAGAGCTTTAACTGCACCATGTAGTTTTGGACTGATGGGAAATGAACTTATAAGAGATTGGGTCATTTCTATTCCATACGTTCCTGCTGATGCTTTGCAATCGACAAACTCTTGTCATTGAACGTCAACTAGAAGCACCAGTTTGTTGCTCTTAGCTGCAAGCTCCACTTGCACCTGTACAGACTGTAGATTGTGGTAGATGATAAAAAAACTGTCTTGCCGCTGAAGAAAAATGAGATAACTGCCAGAAAAAGGCATTTTCTTCTGAAGCTGCAACATTTCATGAATTTGCAGGTTGGCTGAACAATGGCAGAAGGCTTCTAGGTCCTGATGCTGATTGTGGACACTGGAATTTATATGTATTTTGCCAGAGACCAAGAGTTTGTCAGATCACATGTGTCTACTACCTGCATTGGTTGCCTAAAGCTGAGGTGAGATGATTTCTACTGAGGAAAACAATGCAACAAAACCTCCCACTGACACAAAAATGTGTATGGCGAGTGGTATTGGTTTTGCTGCAGCCTATTGGATGTGTTGAAGAATTCCAGGGGGTTCAATTAGATAACGTGGTGCAACATGTGCTAAAGACTGAGATGTACCAAGAGGAGTCTTTATCTGACCGTTGACTTGCACAGGGTGTGCTTCGTRTTTCAGCCACTGACTGCTGTAATTGGAACCAACCACTGGTGACTGTGATTATGATAAATCCAGTAAAGAAAGTGGATTGACGGATGATGATAGGATGTTGTCCTGTCAGATCAACCAAACTTAAGCTCTATTCACACAGGACAATGATTCTGRTATGTTGTCAATGACTTTCACAAACTAGATCAGAGTTTGTTTATTGGAAATATTAAAAACTCGTTGGGTGTGATGGGAATCATGATGCTGCATGTTTAATATTCATTTCCCCCAGTTTTTTGCATTCTTAAGACACTCTCCTGTGCCCTCAGCTTATACCCTGGCACAACTCTCAGATGTATCAGGATTTAACTAGGTGCTAGCAGATTATGTTGCACAAGCATGATGCTAAAGCCAGGATTATTGCATCCGCACTAGGTTGTTCCCATGACCTTGACCTTGTTGTAGTCAGTGAGTGGTGTTTTATAAATGTGAGCTATCATACTTAATCACATGTAAACTGTAGGACACAACATTTTAAATATGCTGCGGTTGACTTTACCCAGTCTGTTGTAGGTATGCTATATTGCCAAAACTATTGGCTCACCTGCCTTGACTCATAAGAGCTTAAAGGGGCAATATTATGTGTTTATCAGGCATACATTTAAAAACTACACCATTATAAAGTATCTATGTCACCTTTAGCTGTTATTAAAAGGCTGTTTTTATGTTTAAATAGAAAATAAACTTATCTTCTCATCACTTCCACTTCTAAACACCTTGCAATTGGCCTCTGTTTCTTTAAGAACCACCTTCTGCTTCTGTCTTGCCCATTTCAGTGCAGGGGGGGCTGCCATGATGCAGTTTACTTGGCATCTGAAAATACATTTCCTCAAAYGTGTTTTTAATCTGAAAAGAGCTTCACTGAGTGAGGACTAGTGTTAGGAGCTCAGCAGACAGTTAGGTTTCACTTTCACTTTCACCCYAGAGCCTGCAGGAGTCATGGGCGGGGTGTGTGGGGAGGGATGGGGTGGGGTGCTCTGCCATGAGGAAGTTTGGCTTAAAGACACGTCCCAGGGGCGTTTCTGGTCCCAAAAGGCATTTCTGGTCCCCACCTGTCATTTTGCTCTTCGGCATGACTGCTTAAAAACGCTGCAGTATTTCTCAAACATGCATGAATGAGTCAAAACAAGGCTTTGGGCATGTTTTTTATGAGAGTATAACATTATAACATGATATAAAACTAAAAAAAAGTTGATTTTACATGACAATGCCCCTTTAAGCAACATCCCATTCCTAATCCATAGGGTTCAATGTGACGTTGSTCCACCCTTTGCAGCTATAACAGCTTCAACTCTTGGGGGAAGGCTGTCCACAAGGTTTAGGAGTGTTTATGGGGATTTTTGACCATTCTTCCAGAAGCACATTTGTGAGGTCACGRGARGTTGGACGAGAAGGCCTGGCTCTCAGTCTCTGCTCWAATTCATCCCAAAGATGTTCTATCAGGTTGAGGTCATGACTCTGTGCAGGTCAGTCAAGTTCATCCACACCAGACTCTGCCATCCATGTCTTTATGAACCTTGCTTTGTGCTCTGGTGTACAGTCATTTGGATGGGTGAGCAAATACATTTGGCAATATATCATATTTCAACAACAGTCTGTACTGCCCTACAGGCCTGGGTTAGACATCAACACTCACTCTGCTGGTAGGAGCTGACAGACTGTAGACAAGCACGGGAACTGATACATGACCCAAATCTAAGGTTTGGGAAAGCTCTCATCGCCCTGACAAGAAAACTTTAAGTACACTGGTTGGAGTCCTAAATGGGCAAAACCTGCTCAACCGCCACAAAATGATGTTGGGACTCCATGACAGTGGTCTGTGTGATGCCTGTGGTAATGAATTAGAGCCCTCTCTGCACTACTTAGACCGCTGCCTGGATCTGAGTGGTCAAAGGAAAAMAATTCTTGAAGAACATTTTATAGATCCAGAGAAACTCAGAACACTGAGTGTTTCTAACCTTGTGTCCTTCATCTGAGGGACACGAAGGTTTGAATAAAGATCYCTGTCTTTTAGGGGGGGAGCAATGAGCCCATTTACAAGGCCAGGTAAAGGTACTCTATTTGTCATTACTGTATGTTCCCATGCAGTGATGAAATTTGTGCTCTGCATTTGACCCGTCACGTGAGAAACACCCAAGTGYAGCAGCGGGCATCTATGTAAGAGTCCAGGGAGCAGTTGGGGGTTAGGTGTCTTGCTCAAGGARACTGCGACYTGTGGYCATGACGAGGAGTCATACCTGACTTTCTGGTCGACTGCCCTACTTTACCACAGCCGCCCACTCACCATAAACCATAACCATAAGTCCTTACAAAGACCAATAAAGTTTTGGCAGATTGTTTTTTCGAGGTCACAGCAAAGTCTTTATTTGTAGTATCCTATTCATTACACTGTTGGTTGAAAGGCTTTACAAAGAGCTAAATGTGTGTATGTTACCTAACTTCCCTCTGGGATCAATAAAGTATTTTTGAGTTGAATTGAATGTTCTGCATCTGTAGTTGACTTAATTTCAGCACAACCAACTACTTTTGTTTTTGTACTGRACAACTCTCAGACTCAGGAAAATTTGAGATGAATGGTATCTACTGCTGCAGCAAAGAAAATGTTAAACAATCCACTGATAATAATCAATATATTAAAAAAGAAGTGAATCATGAAACTTTTGGCTCTGTAAGCAGGAAGCTGCTGTGCACTGTTTTCTGCAAACCAATGAACATTTTCACAACATYCTTATACATTTGTTTTGAACACTAATTCTTGGCTGTTCAAGAAGCTCATTTTAGCTTGAATCTATGACTTGATTTAATTCACTGCCTATAAGCTAAAWCAGACCAGCGCCTAGACTCACTTTTCTTTTGCCAAAATTGAAATTAGTTTTTAAATTTTAATGTGCTGCGCAAGCCAGTTTTTCAAATCTGCTCACGTTAACCAGACCCATTGTACGTTATTTAACTGAAAAAAAAAAAAAAACACTCAGCTGTAAAGTGTGTGTGGGTGGAAGAAAAAAAAAAAAAAAAAAACCTCAGCTGTAAAGTGTGTGTGGGTGGAAGTATGAATGAACAATCTGAACTGCTTCCCATTTTAGAGGAAACCCATTGGTCTAAATCAGGGGTGCCCAAACATTTTCTCTGAGAGGGCCAAGATTAAAAACCATTTTCCCAGAAAGGGCCAAAATTAAAATCAATCTGAGGGTGGTGGGCCAAACGCAATAATACATGAAATGCAAAAACTTCAAGTAAAGTTATATTTTTTATGATTAAGCTAGCAGCCAGTGCAATTGCCCATATTTTTGTTTGTTTGTTTGTTTATTTTTTCAGCCCATGGACATGGAGAAAATTCAACATTTGCTTGGGCAGCAAAGGCTCATGGGACTTTTCATAATTTAAAATTTGAGTATATGGGGTCTTATAAGGCGTGCATATCTAGAAAGGGACTTAAATCCAATATAAATGTCTCTTGAAGTTACTTGTATTTTAAGTTTAATCTTAACATAATTCAAAGATAAAGTGAGNCTAGAAAGTGACTTAAATTTAATAAATGTCTCTTGAATTTACTTGTATTTTAAGTTTAATCTTAACATAATTCAAAGACAAAGTGAGTACCATGAGTTGAGACTATCTGACTACAGCTCCTTGTACATATAGTTGGACCAATGTTTGAAAAGACTAAGTGCAAATATAGCATTTCTACATAAAACAGGAGATTACAATCTAGTAACCAGGATAACTGCTAGTGGGCCAAATCAAATGGGTTGGCGGGCCAATTTTGGCCCGCGGGCCCCACTTTGGGCACCTCTGGTCTAAATTGTCTGACAACAGATGAGTTGTTGTAAAGCAGTTCTTTTTGAGTTTATACAATAKATTTACTTTATTAAACATCACAAACATATTTCAATATAAACATCTGCAGTATTTTTACAGACATGTTGAAGACATTCTCAACTTATAGCTTATCATATTTCATTACAGTTGTAACATAACAGTCAGTGTGTCAGCACTGATGCCAGAATGTAAAAAAAAAATGACACACATAAAGATGTGCATAAAATAATTCACACCTCTGTTACTTAGTTATTGCTTTAGTGAGATAATAATGATCTTAAGAGGATGTGCTAACATGGATACCCCCTCTCTTTACCATCTGTACACTTTCATCTRAGCTCGGAGGGACAGTTTCTGGTGTCACTCACAGAAAGTCCCCAGCATTTTCAAGTCACAGTCACGACCTCGCTGGGAAGTCCTTTACTCTACAGCTCTAGTCACATTAGCTGGATCAGAACACGTTACTCTTCCTTTCACACAACTCTGAGTAATCTCTGGTACTTTTTTAAGTTTCAAAAGGGAATCGTGTCGTAATAAGAACCCCCCAATTTTTCTCAAACTCTTGATGAAGGTATAAACATTAGAGGATAAAAGCGTTTAGACTGAGTTTGGGGTCTCCCAGTCGAACAGCAACACACGGCAGCATCTCAGGTATAATCCAGGGTTAGACAGTTTTACAGTCCTGTTTTGAACAGCGTCGCAAGTTTACATCCTCATTGATTCTGATGTAGAGTCCAGTAATGTTCGGTAAATGTCCGACTTCAGGAAGCGTGGGTATGAGTCTTTCTCCATTAACCCATAGACAATCTTCTGGGCATCATCAAAACAGATCGCAGAAGGAACCTTTATGTTTGTCTGGATCAGATCCCTGGTCTTGTGATCAATGTTGATCTGAAATCAAAGGAAATGCAATGAAAACCACAGCCGTTACAAGTGTTGTGTTTTTGGAAAAACAACAAACAAAACTGTGTGTACCTCTCTGGGAGCCTCGGCTTGAATGTACAGCTTGAAGATCTTTTTGGCTCGGGCCGACATCCTGAAGGACGACCTGATCTTTTTATAGTCCTCACATACCACCCAAAACTCAAGGTTTTCATCGCTGAACTCTGACTTCAAAAAAGCCTGGAATATTTTCATCCCACCTGACCAGATTGGGAAATTAGGCAAGAATTAGCAAATGTTTGGGAGGAAATTCTGAATAAATATACACGAGTTTGGACGAAGTTACAAGTTGACTTACATTTGGAGGACAGAAGTCTTTCCAGGGATTGTGACCACTGAGACATCTCTTCAGGACTAAGTCTACAAAAGAGCAGTGAATTGTTACTATCGTTTGAAGCAAAGGAAGTGAGCAACGTGGACGTTTAGTTTAAAGTTGAAAGCTTTCTGAGCTTACCCCGCTGTGTTAGTTGCCTGAAGTAATTTGGCCTGCAGCCGAGACTTTAGGTTTCCTGTCCTGGTTAACACAAAATAACAGGGGTTACATGTTGTAAAACAAGCACATTAGTCATTCATAACTGTGTTAACTTGGTTTAAAGAAGCTTACCTGCATCTGCCAGTCTTCTTGTCATCAGTCTCCATATTGAAATGCTGCAGCTCCAAAGATGGTAATGTAACTAAACTTGGCATGGCAGCAATGTTTTGTACATGTATGGTTTTATGTTGGGCTACTCTTGGCGCRGATCAACTGCGTCTGTCTGGCGAAACCCAGCAGCAGCACTATATATGTAGAGAAGAAGTGTGCAATGAGGAGGGTGAGCAACGTCACAGCAGCAGTCTCAACTAACCACAGACAAAGAGGAAGTTGTGGATGACGCAAGTGTTTGAACGAATGCACAGCATAGAGCTACAGTTGTCTGYTCTTACTGTACTCCAACCTGTGTTGTTTAGTTTCAAGCCTGGAAATGCAAATAGRTGTGGTGGAAAATTCAGCAGCATAGGCAAATACTTTAGCATCTCTTCTACTTTGCCTTGAGAGCCAGTAACCACTGGTTCAGGCTTTGAAAACATGTGAACTAGATACTGAAGCTTTTTAGGTACTCACATTTGCACTCAGATTTTAATAAAACATATTAGGGCCTGTTTGGACTTGGAGAGATAATGACTGCTGCTCATTTTTCTATTTGAAGTAGGGAAACAAAGTTGCAAACAAAAGACTAAAACAAAACTCACTTAAAATTGAAGTAGTCTGTAACTTTGCATGCTTGAATGTGACTTTTAGCTCCTTAGTTGCAATATTTGAAATATAGTACAACAGAAAATAAACATTTGACTTTTGTGCATTAGCGAGTTGCAAACAGACCCTCTTATAGTTTTGAGGACTTGGTGCATTATGGAGGGATTGTGGGTCTGTTGCAACAGACCATTCGGTTCTTTTACAAGAGGTGGAAGAGTTTGGTTCCAGCAGAAAGTTGGAACCTTTCAGGGTGGGAGTTGGACTCTACCAGGGCTGTCTGTTGTCACAGATTCTGTTCAGAACTTTCGGGCGGAGGGAAGTCTGGTTTGGTGGTCTCAGGATTTGCAGYTGATGTGGTTCTGTTGGCATCATCGTGCCATGATCTTCAGCTCTCACTGGAGCGGTTCACAGCTGGGATGAGGATCAGCACCTCCAAATCMGAGTCCATGGTGCTCATTCGGGAAAGAGCGGCTTGATCTCTCTGGGTTGGGGGTGAAGTTCTGCCTCAAGTGGACGAGTTCAGGTATTTTAGGGTTTTGTTCACAAGTGAGGGAAGAATGGAGTGTGAGATTGACTGGTTGTGCTGGTTCTTTGTGTTAAAGAGGGAGCTGAGCTGTGGTCYGTCTATGTTCCRACTCTCACTTATGGCCATGATCATYTAGTGACTGAAAGAACACGATCACAAGCGATCAAAATGAGTTTCCTTTGCAGGGTAGCTGGACTCTTAGAGGTTAGATGAGAAGTTCAGTCATCAGGGAGAGTCCTAGTAGAACCACTGCTCCTCCACATCGAGAGGACTGAGGATGTTTGTTTTAATAGTCACAACAGACAGAAACAAACTTGAGAGTTTTGTGAGCGGACTTAAAATTCAGGGAACAAAATTTAGTGAAAGCTAATTGCTTTTCAGAGTTAATGAAATGCTAATTTGCTAAACAAAAATTAGCTAAGCTATTAGCTGTTAGCAGAACTGTCTCCACCWTTGCTCATTTCCATTATTCAAGGGTGTAAAGCCTGGTTTATTCGAGTTGTCTCGTTCCTCCTGCTGAGTCACAATAAATTGCACAACTTCCGMCTGCTCTCGCTGCTATCCYCGGTGACAGCTGTCATGTARACTGCCCCAGTCAGAACTCTGCAATCCGGACCTTGTGGCTCGGAGCATGTGATTGGTTAGAACTATGTGGGTGTGTTTTGTTTAAAATGATTTTTTTTGTCTGAAACCAGTTGCTAAAAAGCTAGAAGAGCAGCTGGTTTGATCCTATTGAACATGAGCATGKCTCTGATGTTCACATCTGTTTTCCATCACCACCGTTAACAGAAACGTTTATACTCGCTCAGGAACAAGATGTCTGAAATGACACAATCACCAACCTGCTGTCTCACATCGTATTGAAGTATACAGTAATCCAAGCTTAACCATTGGGGGTCGTGGTGATGAGGGTGTTTGTTCTCTCGGCCCATTTATTTGTTTATTGAATCATTTACTTTTGGTAAACAGATGGTTGTTTGTTGTTTGTGAGATGTGTGTTCTGCATTTGACCCATCACACGTTAGTTAGTTAGTTAGTTAGTTAGTTAGTTAGTTAGTTAGTTAGTTAGTTAGTTAGTTAGTTAGTTAGTTAGTTTATTAATTTCTTTAAAAACAACAACACAAATTCAGCAAACAACAAAAATACAAATCATAAATTAAATGAAAGGTAGCAGAAGAAGAAGAAATCTTATTTTATCTGCCCCTTTTTCTCAAACAAATAAATTCAATCAAAAATAATCTTTAAATTACAAAAAAACAAAAAAAAAAAAACAACCAAAAAAACAAAGGTTTACCTCCTTGAACAACAATTCTTCCGTTTACATATTTCTCCAGCAAATTAATCTTTATCATTCTCTTAAATATACACATTGATCTGGCATTTTTAATGTCATCCTCCAGATTATTCCATAATCTTATTCCCTGGACTGAAGTACTCCGTTCCTTTAAACATGTTCTATAGTTGTATTTAACAAACATTTCTGTCCCCTTCAGATTATTACAACTCTCTCTTTTAACAAAGTGTAATTGAATGTTAGAAGGTAATGTGTTTTTATGAGCCCTATATAACTGATAAGATACCATAATAAATGAAATTATTCAATTTCAATAACTTTAACTGATGGAACAATGTGTTTGATGGGTGATAGTAATGCTTTCTGATGATAATTCTTACAGCTCTTTTCTGTAAAACAAAAATTGGGACGTGGATGAAGAGGGCAGCTAGCGTCCAGGGAGCAGTTGAGGGTTAGGTGTCTTGCTCAAGGACACCACYGCATGTGGGAATGGCACAACTGGACCCTATGACAACCATCAGTAGGCAAGGTGGATGAAGTGTCTTGCCCAAGGACACAACGACTGAAACAACTGGAACGGGTGATTGAACCGACAGCCCTCCATTTACAGGATGACTCCTCTAACCACTCCACCACAGCCGCCCTCAAATCTCCTTCATGGGTCGCTCTTCAAAATTTGGCTCAATTTCATCTACAAATGATGCTGATTCTCAACTTTATCTGCTTGGTGTCGCATCCAAAACAGTTAGATGTGACATTAAAAAAACCTGACCTGTGTGCGGACATGTCCTGCTGACATTCACTTCCGAGTCATTATTAAGTCCACTTCAAGTTCGCACGGACCTCCATGAAGTGAAGTACGCCCGAGTATGTGGGGGCCTTTACTCCCCCACCCCTTCATTTATTCCAACAGTAACATTTAAAGGGATCCTCGATTAGTTGTAACATTAGACCTTATATGATAAACATATACTCACCGGCCACTTTATTAGGTACACCTGTCCAACTGCTCGTTAACACTTAATTTCTAATCAGCCAATCACATGGCGGCAACTCAGTGCATTTAGGCTGAAAACCAAGCCAAGATCCAGGCGCAAAAACCGCGATTTACGCACATCCAGACCCCGACAGCGGGCGTTGTTGGCGGCCTAGCGGGGC